ACCCAAGCCCCACCAGGCAGTCACCAGGCCGAGCCGGCACATGCCCAAGCACCCAGCCCCAGACATCGAGAGCCACCAAGGCACTGGCGGGCAGAGGCACACCCCACGAGAGGGCAGTGCGGCCGGGGGCAGAGCCCACCACTAGCAGAGGGCTCTCAGGTGAACCAAATGAGAGGGCAGCCCGAGTCCCAGCCTGACAAATACTCAATCATACACAGACACAATCATGCCAATCACAGTACTGCAGAGACCCCTACTTGGTGTATTATAATAAGATAAAAATATTCACACACACATTTGTTCTTTTATTCTCATGGGGACTTTTCATTGACTTCCATTCGTTTACTCGTTGTTATAGCCAAATCCTGAACCTAACCACCCCAGTACATACCTGACCCAAACCCTAACCTAAACTCATTTCACATCTTAGACCTAACCCTAACCCCTGACCCACCTATGGTATTTCCTCCAGTGGGGACCAAGCTTTTTCCAGTCATTTCTACAGTCTAATCTTGACCCCTTACCCTCAACCTAACCTAAACTCAATTCATACCTTGGTCCTTAACATAACCCCAAAAAACCTGCACTTAAACAGATGGGCACTGGGCTTTTGTCCCCATAAAAATCAGTGGGTCCTCACAAGGTTGTGTGTACACCAAAAATTATCCGAAATTCAGACTGACCTTCTCTGTCACTTCGTAGTCCATCTTGAAGGCCCAGAGCTGGAGTCTGGCAGAGAGCTCACTGATGGAGGACAGCGTGAGGAGAAACTGTTCTGCAGAACCCAGCGGAACGTCTGGGTTGGCCATCTGGGCCTCCTGAATCTTCTGTTTCTCCTCCTCTGTCGGAATCATCGTCAGGAGTTTCTGAGAGAGAAAACAGAGGTAAAGAGTCCGAGGGCAGATCTGGGTTTTTTTATTTTATTTTGCCTTTCAATCTCGTCCGAATGGCTCACCTCGATGCCCTCCTTGTTGAGAGCGTACTCATCAAAGTTAAGGATGGCGGTCTTAATGGTACGAGGTGGAGGTAGGACTGTGAGGCCTATGTTGATGGCGTTGCTTCTCTTGGAATCTAAAATAATGATTTCCTGACGTTTGCCATCTGCTGCTGTTTTCTACAATAGGGGGAAAAAAGAAATCAGAACGGTGAGAATGAGGGTCCGAAATGGCTTTCCCTCTTTCCCCAGCACTCACTGGGGTCTACAATTTGGACTTGGGCTTAAAGGAATGATCACTTTTACAGTCTTGTTTGTCCACATTTGGTTTCATCAACACTTGAAGCTATCAAAACCTCTGAGAAAATGTAAGTTCAAAAGTGTGAGAAAGTTACTATAATACTAGAAATTTAACCCTTAAAATCATCCATGAAGTGTGTGTGTGTGTGTGTGTGTGTGTGTGGGGGGGGGGGGGGTAGTATTATGCACAGGTTATTGATAATTAGATTTTTAATGCTTTTTAAACTCAAAAAATGATGCTCATACTTGAGATCGTACTATACATGAATAAATATGGTAAATGTTTTACTACCTTGTCTTATAAGAACCACAGCACTTAAAGCTATAGTATTGTATGTTTTCATCTGCCCAAACTGAAAAAGGGTCAGAAGTGAAGGAAAGATAGATGGAGCAAAACACTGAAAAATTCATTAAATTTCCAGATTGTGAGCCAACAAATTAGAGAGAGGGACACATTTAATCCACTTTGAATAACAAGACAGTGATCGAGGTTTGTAGAATACCTTTGTGACAGATATTTCCTTCGACTTGGTCTCAAACAGGTGTTCTAATTTGCCTGTATCAAGCTTTACAGGATCCACTTTGGACCAGAACGAGTCTCCGCTCCACTTGTAGTCCCTGTACTGAGAGTCTGACGGCCGAACCTGGTGACAAATACAAGAAGAAACGGCATTATGTAGACATGTTGCATCGGTTTTCTAAAGGGAAAAATAAGCAAGGAGCTAAAAGTAGTGATGAAGATGACGAGCTCTTTAAAGTTTCCTCACCTCGCTCCAGAAGAGCCTGATGGTTTTCTTCTTTTTGTTAAAAAGAGGCGGCTCCGAGGGAGGGGGCGCCGGAGCCGGAGAGCTAAAAGTGGGAGGGGGCGGTGGCCTCATGATGCCGATTAACGGAGGGGGCGGGGGACAGCCGCCCAGCATGGGCGGGGGTGGGGGGAAGCGTGGCACGAAAGGCGGAGGAGGTGGCGGAGGCGGGAGGTCGCCGCACCCTCCCATCAGCACGGCGTCCAGGATGTCCTTGTCATCGTCGTCCGTCAGGTCGGTGAAGTTGATGTCCCTGATGCGCAGCTCCCGGGGGCTGGCCAGGAGCTGGTCCCAGATGGTGTCTGACTCCTTTTTGGGTGGCGGCGGTGGCGGTGGGGGAGGAGGAGGGGGCTCGACAGCAGCTGGGACATCCAGGTGAGGGTGGAGCACGCCGAGGTCCTTGACCAAGTCCCCGAAGCGCTCGGCCAATGGGCGGATGCCCCTCCGGTGCTCGGACTTGTCGTCCCTGTTGTCGCTCGGCTGGCCGTCGCTGTGTTGTCCATCAGTGTCCTGATGTGTCTCCCTGTCCTCTCCCTCGCCCTTCTCTTTCTCCTTCTCCCCCTCTTCCTCGTCCTCCCCCTCAGCACTTGGCTTTGTGCTCTGAGAGTACAGCATGTCCAGCATGAAGAGTTTGCTGTCCAGAAGTTTGTTGCAGTTTTCATTCACCTCCGCCTCCTTGAAGCCTGGGAAAAGCGGTAAACGTGTTATTATTTAAATCACGTTTCAAACTCAGGGCCCTCAGGCTGAATGTGGCCCACCACTGTATTTTATGTGGCCTGCAAGAGCTTCTAACACATATTATTATCTTATCTTAAATGAATCATATGCTACTTTAAAGCCATAGACCATAAACTACATCTCCCGCTGTGAAATGTGCTGTGTAGTACAGTATCTCCATTTCTTTGCATTTTCACAGACTACATTTTGCTGCGACCCAGCAGTCGTAATCTAGAACTAGAACACCCCTTTGGTGGGAATTCCCTGTCAGAAAGTAGGAAGTTCAGAATTAAAGGCAGCAGCTACTCTACAACTCATCAGTGAGTAAAACTCTCTTACTTTTACTTTTAACAGTATGTCAGTATTATTTATTTAACATTTAGTCAGTGGTACACGTAGCTTTTTTAGTGTTTATAAGAGGACATGTTGAAGCACTGTTTCCATGCAGGAAATACCATGTAGAGTTCAGTTATTGTTTGTTAGCAGTGCTCAGGAATGTGACATTTTGTGTTTAACCAAAATTAAACACAAAACATTGAAGTTAATAACAACTGGCCATTTGAGGGCCACCATTATGCTCTTGTGGCTCTTAGTGAAATGAGTTTGACACGTCTGATCTAAATACTTAAATTTCAACTCCAAACCAAAACAAACAAAACCTTTTCCATTAGAGACAACCCACCATTCTCAGCGCTGCTTCTCTCCTCTCTTTCCAGAGTGCTGCTGGCGGATGAGATGCTGGAGGCCGAGCAGTTGTCCTTCTCGTTCACCTCCTCATTCTGTCGCTCCTTGTCACTGAGGATGCTGCTGTCGTCCTCTGCTCCCTCCTCTGGCTGTGCCCCTGCTTCCTGCTCGGGCTCCTCGGCTTGCTTCTCCTCGTCTGCTGCCTCTTCCTCCTGAACCTCCTCGCTTTCCTCTACTTTCTGCTCTTCCACTTTTTCCTCAGCAGCTTCTGTCTCTTTCTCCTCTGCCTCTACACTGCCACTGGAGTCGTCAGCTTCACCTGTCGTGAGAAAATGATATTTTTTATCATTTGTGCCAAAATTAACTAAAAGCATTCAGCTAAGAAACATACTGTTTACGGTATATAGAAAAACTGAACAAAGTCAAACGTCCATCTTAATTATTTCAAACCATTTATGTTTGGGTCACCTATAGGGGCACCAATTCATGAAAAAAAAACAACACAGGTTCAAATGTAAACGATATATCTGGTACAGAAAGCCAGGCTGTTGTGGGACCAGGATATGAGCAGGAAATGAAGATTTAAGTTCCTGTTGACATCAGATCACGCCCATGTGCACGGTACACAAGCAGAACTCAGCAGCACAGTCTGCGCAGTGATGCAGGTGGGACAAGAAAAACACTCGACCCCCGAGGCCTCCAGCGCTCGCCTGTGAGACCTACAGTCCTCCCCGCTCGCGGCGGCACTTGCGCTCCACAAAAAGGCTGGTTTCTTACACAAGATGTTTTGGCATCAACTCGTCAAAAAGGGTCTTTCAAAAACTCCTTTTTGACCTTTGCACCTCTGTCCCCTCTGTGTTTATTTCCCCTCATTTTAATCCCCCTGCCGGTGTCCCCTCCTTTTCCCATTTTGCCTCCTTTTTTTTCTTCTGCCGCTCAGCTAATTTATATGGCAAGTTGCAAATTGAACCAATTCCAGGCTAGGAGGGATTGTTTAGGGTTGCAAATTGAAAAGATTACCATCTAGTTTTCACAGTGGTGCTAACAATGCTTAATTTTATATTTATTTTTATCATTGTATATTTACAATTATAAATATTAAGAGTTGAAAGAAGACATCTACTTTTTAAGAACAACTTTCCAAAAAATTCACAAGAAAACCCTGAATAACTGTAACTGTAAATGTGCGATTTAAGTATTACAGACAGGTTAGCCAAAAAGATACATTCATATACTGTTAATCTAATCTAATAACTCCCTCTTAAACATATTATTTAGAATATTTTCAGTATTTATGAACTTTAATGCCCTTAAAAACACTAGGTCCAAAAATCAAAGCCAAAACAATTATTAAAGATGCAGTTTTTCAAGTGGCCAGCAGGGGGCTGGTTCTTATGAAAATAATAACCCTCATTCATCACTTTCAAAAACAATTTTTATAGTAATTTCTTTTCATATATCGGTTCAAAGCCTTCTTTAAAAATGCATGATGTTAATTGTGCAGATTATAACCACATTTAAACTATAATATATAATGACGAGACAAAATGTCTTCAGGAAATGTTGCCAGTATTTGTACATCTACAATACTACAAAAACCTCCAATAATCTGGAACAGGCTTTGGTGTCATGCAAACTTTATAACATTGTGGTAATAATATTGTTGTGTTTACATTTTACACATAAGTTTAGGCTTAATGGGCATGCTTTCCATATTGTTTCATGTTTTTGGTGTATTTTCATGGCAGTGTTATAGCACCACATACAGGCCCGGCATAGTTACTGCAGCATTTTGGATCAATTTAGGTCTTTTTGTGTGAATAAAGACATTTCTAGAAATGTTACTGTCCTTAGAAAATAATTTTTTTAGAATTACCCAGTGGTGGGATCAGCTAACCAAAATATTAGCTTCGCTGACATCCAAACGGCTAAACAATTTCCTTAGCTCTGCCAACGGCAAAAAGCTAAATAAAAGCTAATGTTAAAATGCTGATATTTAACATGTTAACGTCCAGTTAACCATGTGTTAACAGGAACAGTATGCTATTTTTGGACTACGGTTTTGTCTTTGAACACTTCTAGAGTTGTGATATTTACGAACAATCCGAATCGTTTGAACAGCTTCTTACAACAAATGATAAGAACCGAGCTGCAGGCAGTAAAGAGCTGTTCTTAGTTTTATTTGTTTTCCTCCTCAAATGCAGAGACAATCCCACGTCCTTCACTGTTTTTTTTTGTAAACCAGTTGGTTGGGGGGCAAGTACAGTTGCTCAAGTGGAAAGTGGGAGGTTGGTTCCACTTAAAACACATGATTCTGCCAACATAATGTGATGTCGTAATATTTTCAGTATTGAACGGCTCTATGAAACAAACGGCTAGTCAAGCTCTAGATCCCTTTATATAGTCATTTGTCCCATCTTTAAACATGCCCCCCTCTAGTGTTCTATTCCCCTCTATTCCCCTGGCTCGGATGTCTCAGTAATTGTTTCAGTTTTACAGTCAATAACTAAACTAAACCAAACTTGAATGTGTGATGTGACAATCGTAAGTCAACACAATATAAAATGCTTCATCGATCACCAATAAAAGCATTCATGTCTCCGTTAAAGTGAAGGCGGAGCTACAACTCTGCTGATTATTTGTGGCAAAGAAAAGAATCGATTATTTTAGCAAGAGTTGAGTCCGTTAATAAATTATAAAATTAATATAAATACTAAACCGCTCAGCAAAAGATTAGTTCCACTTTTAGCAGGTTAGCAGATGAGAGGAACTGTGCCCATCACTGGATTTGACAAATAAACTCTTATTGAAGAAATGTATTTCAGTAAAGACACAGCTTGAATGTAAACTTATGTCAGACCAAATGTTTATGCAATGTTGACAGGTTTTGCAAAAATACGACTCACAATCAGCTCAACCTCTCAGTTTGATAGAACGACATGTACCAGGTGAACCAACTCGTTCAACATATTCCTACCATTCTCAGAGGGTGCGTAGGCTGTGACAGGGGTCTCGGTTTCAGGATCGCCTTCGGTGTCCTCGTGGGATGCAAAGGAGGATGGAGTGCTGCTGCGAGATGATGAAGGCCATGCCTCCGAGGGTTCAAAGGGCAGGTTAAAGTCAGGGCGAGTTCTGCACACCCGGACACGATCCCGCTCGTACTCCTCCGCCGCCAGACGCTCCACGTTCTTATACCTGAAGGAGAAGAAAGAGATAGAGGGCAGGATGAGAATTCATGAAGCATTTAGTTTTTCCTTCTCATGTCTCTCATTTCCAGGAGGAAAAATGCTTAAGTTTCAGCAGCAGTTCTCACAATAAACATGAATGAATTAAAAGACGAGGAGACAGGAAGGAGGAGGGAACAGATGGGGATAAAAAGAAGAAGATGGAGGAAAGTTAGTTTGGTTGAAGCAAAGCTAACCTGTTCAAGCTCCTTTCTCCTTCTTCTCTTCCCCACTTTCTCCTTCTGCCAAACCTGACCATTCAACCTGCAGGCCGGCACCGAGCCGACCCCCTCCGCCCCCTTTTCCCTCGGCCTTTTCTCTCCACTAATCCCTCCTCTTTTCCCACCGCAGCGCCAATGTGTGGTGCTTCTGTTCCGACTTCATTAGCATCAGGACCCTTCAGATGTCTGAGGAAACCAGACACTGATCCACTTGTGTGTGTTGGAGTCTCTCTCTGCGTGAGATTAACGGTGAACGGGAGGGAGTGAGCCAAGAGTGTATTGTTGGCTCCAACTGACTGTATCTACATACAATTACAATTAAAGGAGCAAAAGTTTGCAAATACGCCTCTCCTGTGGGGCACTCTTTCAATAAACAGGGTTTGATGTGTGAGTCTGCTGAAATATTCTTTATCAATGCAAACCTGAATTATAAATGAAGTCAAGTTAAGCTCAAGGTGCAGCAGCTGAACTCTACCAACTGTTTAGAACAGACTGTTGTGACGGGACATCATTGTGTTGTAATATAAAGAACTAGAACAAGTGCTGCTCAAACTCCTAACATATATCAGTGTTCTTCTATAAAACTCAATAGCAATGGCAGAAGCATCAGTTTGTCACATGTAATACATTTTATGTTTTATTGATGAGATATGACAAGTTAAAAAGGCCCTTTACTTTCTCTTTCAAAGGGGAAATTCTGAGCTCTCATACAATGGAAGCCTATGAGAGTTAGGGTGTGAACGCTCTGCGCTCAGGGAGGTTTTGAAAGAAAACTTGAAGTCCTAAAGCCTATATGGAACTACATATAGTTCTATTTTTGTCCAAAGTTTGAACGGTTCAAATGTACACTGTGTATTTAACACTGGTAAAATCTAAAAAAAAAAAAAAAGTCATAATTTTCCAGGTGTGATGTAAAAACTACAGTCCCATCGCTTAAAATCCATCTTTCCAGGACCTGTTTAAACTCTGAACATGTTTACGAGCAAATAGTAATAATGCTGCTTCAGTGTTTTTTGTTTAATAAAATAAAAATGGACCTAACTCTGATGTGCTAAATCAGTGTCAGAATCTGTTTTTTTGTTTGTTTTTTGTATAGTTTTTTTTGTCTTTTTATGTTTTGTCTTTTGTCTGTTCTTTTACTGTATTTAGGCATGTATAATGTGACTCCCCAATTTTTCAAGCAGTGGTCTCTGCAGTACATATGGGGAAATTTTTAGTGTCCTATCCGTGATTGACGGAGTGATTAATTAGTGTAGCGGAGGTGGGTAGTTGAGCAAAACCGTGATTGGTTGGATTGACATGTGTTGTGGGCAACTTAAAAGATGAAGTAACGGTAACATTATTATGAATATATTAATAAAATGTGTAGACTTCAAATTTCTTGAGGCAAGCTCCTTCCTGTCTTGAGTTATGAATAAATTCAATATATCCATGTCCAAAAATAGCTACCTTTTTCCCAGGCAGGTTAGGGCTATTGACGAAGCCAAATTGTTACACATCCCTCCGCATGAATGGAGTTGCAATTGTTGTCTCAAATTCTGTCTAAAATTAATATTTAGCTACACAACATCTCAGCTGCCCCTGGCTTCTTCAAATCCCACCTAAATAGTCAGTTTGACTATAAAGTCTTTTAACAATTCCAGTGTGTTGTCTGTTTCTTAACTATTGTTTTATGATGTTGTTGATGTTTTTATTGTTTTATTTTTCTGTATAATTTTTGCACCTTTGTAAAGCACTTTGTGACCCTCTATGTCTGTGAAAGGTGCTAAATAAACACTTACTTACGTACGCACGTACGTCGTACGTACGTGCGTACGTACGTACGTATGTACTTTGCTTGCTCGCTCGCTCACTCACTCGCTCGCTCGCTCGCTCGCTCGCTCACTCACTCGCTCGCTCGCTCACTCACTCACTCACTCACTCACTCACTCACTCACTCACTCACTCACTCACTCACTCACTCACTCACTCACTTACTTTACCTTACCTTACCTTGCCTTACCTTACCTTGCCTTACCAAAATCCTTCCACAAAAGTCAAATGGACCAATCATGTCTTCGAAAAACTTCTCCCAAATACCAAGAAACTCCCACTCATTGACTGCAGATCCCCTTTTTCACTTTTTTGAGCTTAAAAAGCATAAAAAAATCTAATCCTCTTATATAATGCTAGCCCTAATTTCATAAAAACTTCAGAATTTTTTAGTATTTGCAGTGCACCCTCTGGTGGGGAACCAGATCATTTGGGGGACACACTAGGGCTGTGCATAAAAATTGCTATATTGATTTTTTAAAAACAATATTGTATCAATTTTTCTCTCTTAATATTGATATACCCCCCCCCCCAACACACACACACATGCACAGTCACGTATCTTTGCATGCCCACTTACACCTGCGCTCCATTCCAACATCACAGCTGCAGCCACTTCTCATCAGTCCCAGCCCAGTTTGTTTGTCTTCACTCAATTTTCAGTTAAATTCTAGGTTTTCAGCTGTTTCTTCTTGCTTTTTGTGTCATTCTGCATTCTGGGTACAGTTTGAAGTCATTTACCCCCAGAACACTTGTTTTAAACACAATCCAAGGTTCTTGGAACTAGAATAATTAAAAAAATAAATAAACATTTTGCTTATTCAAAGGTATCATTTTGTCATTTTAGCTCTATCAGTTGTGATTTTTGCTGAACTGTCTAAACAACAGCGGCTCTTTGCTCAAACCAGAAAGATAAAATCTGAAGAGAAGGAAGAGGGGAATAGGAAATGAGGGGATTTGCATATTTTTAAACACAGAATTTGGCTCGCCGGTCCTTCCTAACACATGCTGCTCTGGGTAAGATCAGTCCTAAATGTGAGCGTGACCTCACATCACTTTCTGACTAATTCACTGGCCTCCTGTGATCCCCCTCCCCCCTCCCTGTCTGCACACCAAGTTGGATTTATAAGCCTCATGAAAATTCTTCCTGCAAGTTAGTGTGAGTGGATGTTTAATGAGCATGTACATGTGCATTCAGTGTGAAGCCATCAACAAATCCAGGAATCTGGTTTTCTCTGGGTGGGCAGCCAAAACAACCAAAGCCATGGCAGAGAGAAAGAGAAAATAGGCAAAAAAAAAACAGTAAAAAAAAAAGCTAAATCAGTTCAGCCTCCCCTCACCCGCAGCTGAGGGCACGGTTTTAACCTGAAAACAATTACACCATTACCAAACTTCCCAAAGCAAGCGGCTTGGAGATTTTCCCAGAGGGTTAGTGTTGTTTTGATTTAGTGCACACTTACCGCTCCTCCCGGGCGAGCCTGGCCTCCTCCATTTTATCCACATAGTCGCGGCTGTGGGAGACATGCACACAGGGAGATTTAAAAGATAATAACCTTAATTTCTTCCACTACAAACTCCCGAGGACCTGCCTGGTTGAATAAATTACGTTAGCAGATCACACACGCGAGCAGTTTTCGAACTATTGTAACTTTTGGATCTACTTTCTGCTCCAGGACTAAATAGAAAGTTTGTGACATGTGTTGGCTGCTCTCTCTTTTCTTCCTGTAAAGTCTCAGTAGAATTTATTTTAACTTCTAACATAAAAACATCTCAACAACCAAGCTCCATCTTGTATTAAATATCTTATTTTCCCATATTTCCTAACAGAGCACTTTGTTTTCAGACTGCAGGTGTACTTGTGGTTCCTCAAGTTTCCAAAAGTAGAATGGGAGGCAGAGCTTTCAGTTATCAAGCTCCTCTCTTGTGGAACTAACTTCCAGTTTCTGTCCGTGAGGCTGACACTCTGTCTACATTTTTTCCTTTTTGATAAATCCTATAGTTTGACTTTGGTTTCCTGAGTTATTCCTCAGTTATTATAGTTAATTAGTTCTGCTGCTATAGGCTCAGACTGCTGGAGGACAAACTGACCACATTTCCTCACTCTGCTGCTGTCTTTAGTCACTCTACTGTTCTTGTAATTATTGCTGTCTTTTAGGTTCCTTTTTGGTATTTTCTTGTATTCCCCCCAATTTTGCCAAAAACAAACGTGCATTGTTCCAAAGGACACCATGACGGCATGACGGCTCAGTGGTTAGCACCGACGCCTCACAGCAAGAAGGTCCTGGGTTCGATCCCCGGTTCGGACCTGGGGTCTTTCTGTGCGGAGTTTGCATGTTCTCCTCGTGCTTGCGTGGGTTTTCTCCGGGTACTCCGGTTTCCCCCACAACACAAAAACATGTACAATAGGTTGCCTTCAGGCCCAGGCCGCCCTTGAAAAAGAGATCTGAGATCTCAATGGGATTTGCCTGGTAAAATAACGGTAAATAAATAAAATAAAAAAAAAAATGCCAGATAAACCGAGGTCCAACATACCGGTGCTGTTAACAAACAGGGTACCGTCAGAAATTGTTCTAATGTTGGTCGAAGACCATGAGGGACAACGACAGGCAACTTTAGAGAGCTGGTTGTCCTGATGTAGAGAAGGAAGGTTGGGGTATTATGCATCCAAGAGACCAAATAGACGAGCAGCAAGGTTTGCATTGCAGCTTTGAGGCAGAGTTTAAGTTGTTTTACCATGGTGTGGACAAAAAGAAAAGTGGGGTCCTCAAGAAGAAGTTTGCAAAGGATGCAGCTGAGTTGAAGAGCTCAGATAGGGGGATGCGTCTGAAGATAGAATTAGAAGGTTTGATGCTTAATAGTGTCAGTGGTTATGCTCCACAGGTTAGATGTGATGTAGAGGAGAAAGATAAATTCTGGAACAAACAGGGATAGTCAATTACGGTCCTCGAGGTCCGCAGCCCTGCACGTTTTATTTGTTTCTCTGTTCCAACACATCTGATTTGAATAAATGGATGATTTTCAGGCTTCTGCAGAACTTAGAAGAGGCAATTCACCGATTCACTGACTGAATCAGGTGTGTTAGAGAAGGGAAAAAAGTAAAACATGCAGGGCTGCGGACCTCATGGGCCAGAATTGATTAACCTTGCTCTAGATGAAGTGATAGAGCATCCAAAGGTTGGTAAGGTTGTGGCAGGGGAGAGTGTGGCTAGACAGCACTGGATGGTTGGACGACTGATGTGGTGAAAAAGAGTGACGACAAAGAAGACAAAGCGGTGAAAGTGAAGGAAGAAGACGAAGCAACAAATCGAATTATCATGGTCTTTTGGATCAAGGGTGAAAATGATGAAGCAAAAACCAATAAATAATACTTTTACGTGTTTTTATGGCTCTGGAAGGGAGCAACATATCCAAATCTACTTTTTTATTTTTATATTTGAAAACCAAAATTGTTCAGAAGTCAAGTACTTTGACTTGGATTTTTAGTTTAATTCAAGAATTTACTAAAGTTGAATTTTTAAAGTCTTCACCACAAAGTATCAGTTGCTTAAAAACATTATCGTACTTTTGAGCTTTCCATGTACCATATATAAAACCTGTATCTAGTGAAACCAAAGCTGGTCCCACCTGTGCTTGTTCCTCTCCTGTCTCTCTATCCTCTGCAGCCGCTCCTCTCTCTCCACACGGCGGCGCTCTCTCTCCGCAGCCAGAGACTCCTGATGCTGCCGGTAAGACGAGGACAGGAGTCCTCCCAGAGCTGGCCTGAGGTAATAAAATATAAAAAAACATTTATTCAGAATCAACCAAGTTGATTTTCACCCTTTTCCCAAGCTTGTGCAACATGTGGAGGTAAATGCTGATGCACTGTTCTCTCACCTCGAGTTTGTGGGCGTACTCGGGGTGCTGACAGAGGAGTAGGACGTGGGACCCCCGTTCCTGAAGGAGAAAAGGCCGGTTACACGACACCGCATCAACGACACAAAATTTGCAGCGTCCACCCAGAGCCACCTTCTTATATTACAGGAATGCTGTTGGTGCAACACTTCTGGGATCCTAATTAAGAACTCCTGAGGTGTTTCTTCTCTCAGGTTGCAGGAAAATTCCAGAAAAGGTGTTTGTCCTCTGATATAGTTCCTCTGAATCTTCCAAGTCTTTTATTTTAACCAGTTTAACTGGTGTGTTTTGTAACGCTCTGGTGCTACTGGTAATATTTAATTGAAATACTACAAAAGTTAAAAATCTAGTTGAAGTTTGTGTAAATTTGAGTTTTAAATATAATCTGATGCAAAACTGCAAGCTCATCAAAATTTAGATAATTTTTTTATGAAACTGTGTGCGCTTTCTTGGGTAGATTAGCTGTGGCGGCCATCTTGGATCAATTTGGCTTTACTTTCTTGGAGTTGCCTTAAAATCCACCTAGTCGTTCACAAGATATTTTGCTAACAGACAAAACACACATAATCAAGTTATTACCAGAACAGTAGTGATCATGTACCTAATAAATCAATTAAGTTCATAAAAAAATCTTGAATATGACATTCAATTATGCATACGGAAAAGAAAAAAAATAAAAGTTTTTCATCAAAATGAAAAGAAATGAGAAACTGGAACGTTTCACTGTGCTGCTTTTGAAAAGAGTGATGACAAACAAAAGTGACTTATCAGCCCAGTGGAAGAACTAAAAATAAAAACAGACATGTGAAGAAATGAAAGGTGACAATAAGAGAAAAACAAGACGAGAAGCTGTGAAGTGGAGAAGATAAAAAAGTTGAGAAATGAAAGGTGACGAACAAGAACGTTTGTGCAGAAAGAAATCCCAGCTGGTGCCAAAATAAAAGCCCGTAACAGGAGTGGGGAAAGTGGGAAAGTGAAGGTGGGAAGAAACTCCTGGTGAAGAAAGGAGCTGCGTTGTCCGTCTGACCTGGCGGGTGGCGTTTTGGGAGACTCCTCGTCTTGTCTGGTTTGAGCAGCAGGCGCCTCCTCGTCGAGGTCGTACGAGAAGACGTGGAAGGGCGAGTGGGGCACGTAGGGCAGGCGGTCGGAGGATGGGCGGGAGGTGCCGCGCAGGGGCGGGCTGACTTCCGTGGTGGCCGGGACAGTGACCATGGAACGTTTCCTGGCCAGCAGCGTGGCCAGGAGCGAGGGCGAGCTCTGGGAGGATGGAGGAGGAGAGGCGGGGGTCGAGGGGGAGGGGGTCTCCGATGGGGACGATTCTGCTAGACTCCTTCGCTCGTCTTCTTTGAAATTCTGCTTTCTGGAAGTGACGGTGATGGACTGAAGGGTTGTCCTGTGAACGATGGATGTAGGAGCTGGGCTAGAAACAGAGGGATGCATTGAGAGGAATAAGAAAACTGTGGCTTTAAGAGACATGTTTGGGGGACAATCAGTACTACAGTTATACAGCTCACACCAATAAAAGCTACAGAGTAAACTATCTATACAGTCATTGGAAAAAGAAAGTCCATTATTATTTATCCTATTTGTCAAAAAGGTGCAAATATGTCCAGTGTGTATGGTTCTCCTCTCTGTGTGATCAGAAGTTATTTCTATCAGCAGGAAGCTGCTGTTGTTGTTGAAGTCGGACCATGGATCTGCCACCGGCGCATTTCTGAGGCAGAGATATTTCCAACTTTACACATGTGTTTAATAACATAATTACTGTAAACAAAGAGGAACTCATTGGGTTTGTAGAACTTGGAGCTTTATTAAATGGTTCATATGAAGATATGAAGTGGTGCCTTGATGAAGTGTTTTTGTCGTGCTTCAGGAGACTTATATTTCGGGATCAAAAGTCATAACACCTTGAAGTCACTGAGTCGACCATCTCCTCCTCTGTAAATCAAACTCATCATAAAACCTTTGAACCAAAAGACGATGGACTTTCTTTTACCCCGTCTATTAAATCTACACAAAAGACACACAATATCTTATTCTATTTACCCAAAGCGCCAAAAACACACAAACAAGACAACATGTCACCACCAAGTCCTAAATTACCTGGAGGTGCTCTGATCAGCCCCCTCCTTCTCATCTGAGTCAGACTCAGTCACAGGAGTCTCCTCCTCCTCCTCCTCCTCCTCCTCCTCCTCCATGCCAGCCTCACATTCCTCCTCTCTACAGAGGTGGATGAGTGGGTGAGGGGGGTATGATATGCCCATGAAACAGGATGGATAGAAGGAAAGATGATGCAATAAATGAGGACAGCATGCAGATAGACATTTCAACAGAATACATAAAAATCAGGGATGCAAAAAATTAATCGACTTACAATTAATTTTCGAATAATGGTTTATTAGATTAAAATTCTATCTATTCAATTAATTAATAACGTCTGGCTTAGACCTTATTTTAGTGTTGTTTAGCCACCATCCAAAAGAGGGCGCCACTGCTTTCAGCCTGGCCTTACTCTACGCTGTCTGTATTGAACAGGGAGCTGACTCGACGTGAGCGGGGACATAATTCTAAACACGCAAATCTTATTTAGTTTTATTTGCAACAACACTAATAAAAACTCGAGGGAAAAGTACCGAAGGCTGCACCGGACCATCCAGCAGTGTGACGCTTAGACGTCATGCCGCATAAAAGAGAGTAGGATGACAAAAACCAGTAAGCTAATTATAGCTGACATTAGCTATAAAAATACATTATAACCACTGCAAATGATTCACATGTAGTTACTCTTTTCTGTATGAAGTAACCCCCCCCCCAGCCAGTGAACAGTAGCTGATGTCAAACTGGACCAAGCAGCTCATTGTTAAAATATAAGTATGTGCTTATTTTAAATTTGGCCCGTAAAAAGTTAGCCTTTTCTGTTATGGAAAGGCCTTCTTGATTCAAGCGAAAACTCAGGTTTTTAAGAAAATGGCCGTTTATTAATTAATCGTCAGTCGATCGATAAGATCCATCAACTTTAGATGAATTCATTAATTGATAACTTGCATCCCTAATACAAACACTGGACGGATGGATTAGATGACACCACTGCATGAGAACGCTTGCAGGCAAAAACCAAAGAAGGACGTGACAAATATCAGACCAAGATGAGAGACAGCACTGAAATGAAATGGGAGCACTGGTGGGGGAAAGGTTTGGGATTAGATACCCGGTTACGTGGGATTACATGCAAATAAAGACAAAGCATGATGAGAAGATAAGAGGGGGAAGGGAGTGTAGGGGAGTAAACCACGACACTGAAACTCAAGATCAGTAAACGAACTGTGTTGTTTTGTGGTTTTCTACATGTGGATCTCAAACGTCCACACATCACTTTGTTTCAAAAACAAACAAACGTGGAACCATATTTCCATTAATCCTTGAGTTGATATTTCCCCCCCCTGCAGCCTGGGGTTTAATCTTTGGTCACATGACACACTGAGAGGATGAGAGGATGAGAATGGAAAAGCAACAGTGGAGGAGAGGACAAAGTGTTGGCTTGGTTAAAACAGCCGGTAAAAGGCCGGTTTGTGGGACTTTAGATGTTAAGAGTTATAAGATAACCCTGAAGCCGTGATCCACAGCTGAGAACTGTTTCAGGTCTTGAGTCCTGATTAAAAAAAAACCACACTGTGAGCACTGGGAACACACTCAAAGTGGTTGCATCATGTGTTTGAGGAGCAGCTCTTGTAGATCTGGGTTGGACTTACATGGAAGGAAGACAACCTGACAGAGTTCTGAAGCAAAAAGTGGTACAAGAGTAACTATATCTCAAAGGAAACATCATCATGGCAGCACAATCCCTCCGCTCTGTAACCCCCCCCCCCCCCCCAATAAACTGGATGCTGTACGTCCATCGCTCTCACCTCTCGCTCACGTCCTCAGCTCTGTGTCCGCCAAAAGGCTGGAAGCCAGCTCTCTGCGGGGATGCAGGACTGCAGGAAGAGGCGTGTCCAGATCGCCCCAGAGAGGCCCGACGGCTGCGGCGCCTCTCCAGGCCACGCCGTTTGTCCGTGATGCCGAGGCTGGACCGTCGACGGCCCCTGCACCCCGTCGGTGGGGGCTGGCTGTTGTCGTCGTCTTCATGTTGTAGGGTCATCTGAAAGGGAAATAGCATATTTGGTGGTTTTACTACAAATAATTTACAGCACACGTGTCAAATGCAAGGCCCACAGGCCAAATGTGGCCCGCCACAGCATTTCATGCGGCCCGTGAGAGCACCAAAGATGTATTAATGTCTTAAAATATGCTGCTTTGAAGCCAGCATTGATCATTCACAACACCTTCCATAGTGCATGTTGATGATTTTACCCACAAAATGACAGCATCACACCCTTAGTGGGGGTGCACAGGCTTCAAAAGTAGTTGGTAGCAAGTAGCCCACAATTGACCAGTTTTAATTAACTTTGATGTTAATTAAAACATTAGTCATGTTCCTTATCTCGCTACAACTGAGCATCACTAACTGAGCTCTACGTGGAATTTCCTGCGTAGAAACAGTATTTTAACACGTCCTCTGATAAACACTGAAAAATACAACATGTACAACTTACTAAATGTGAAATAAATAATACAGAAATATCACTAAAAGTAAAAGTAAGAGTTTTAGTCAATGTTGAGTAGTGGTGATTAGCTACTGTCTTGAATTCTGAACTTTACCACTTTCTGACAGGGAATTCCCAACAAAGGTGCCTTCCAGTTCAAATTTACGTTTTGTAAATGGGAAATTCCCACCTTCCAGCACAATTGGGCGGCGGCAAAAGTAGCCAGCAAAAATGCAACTAATTGGAGATTTTTTATGGCAAGTTTTGCCAAGTGACAGATACTTTATAATCCTAAGACAATTTTACAGTGTTCCCAGTTGTACTGGGAAGAAGGAAATTCCTAATCAAAAATTTAAACTGGAATGCTCCTCTCCAGTGCGAGAGTTTAGAATTGAAGATGGTAGCTTCTGCTTCCTACCAGTGGCCATCAAACTCTGTAGCTCATCCCTAAACTTGTGATACCACCTGCCACTTTATTCCACCTGTGCATTTCAGTTTATCTAGGATAAAACATGTGCATCCGTTATATCATCTTCTAACATCTTTATTGGACCCTTTTCACCTAACTGTACTGTTTCTATTTTTGTTTCTACCTTTTATTCAGTTTATATGTCCATAAGTATGTTTGTTTTGTTTTTCTTCAGTGTTTCTACTTTATTTTATTCTATCGTTCTTATCTTTTATTCTTTAATTATTTTACTTGAACAGTTGCAGCTGTAATTTCTCTTGGGTATCAAGAAAGTATTCTGATCTATAGTATTTACTTATATGTAGTACTTTTCAGTGTTTATAAGAGGATGTGTTAAAACACTGTTTGTATGCAGGAAATACCACACAGAGCTCAGTTATTGTTTTGACAGTAGAGCTTGAAGTCAGTTATAATTAATCCTTTGAGGGCCACCATAATGCTCCTGTGACCCTCAGTGAAAATGAGTTTGACACCACTGGTTTACAGAGTCAAACTCCATCGTATCGACAGAACATACAGGACACTGACACGCTTATTATTTTGTATTACTTTGCTTGTTTCTGACCTCATAGATGTTGAGCTGCTCAACCAGGTCCAGGTCAGTGCCTTTTCGTTTCAGGTGTCTCTGGGAGACCGTCTCCATGCCCTGTTCCTCCAGACTGTCCACCGTGTCATAGAAGGAGTCCTGATCAGGCAGAGCTGCAAGAGTCTGCAGGAACAAAATATACGAGAATGTTTCCAACAACAAACACTTCATCTGGAGTCGAGGCAGGACTCTCAGTACACGGTGACTTGCAAAAGTCTTCACACCCCTTGGAACTCTTTGTGTTTGTTGCTTATTGTCATATGTGTCTCCACCCAGCCAGTCTCAGTTCGGTCTAGTTTTTCACTCCCCTGCTGGTTAGAAACACGTCCACATCATGATGATTCTACCGCCATGCTTTGCTCCGGAAATGGTGCTTAAATTTTAATCGATCAAAAAGAAAAAAATTGTATAGGTCCTCTGGACGGGTTCTTCTCTAACGAAACGTTTCGTCTCTTCTCCAAGAGACTTCTTCAGTCTGAGTTTCAGGCAAAATTCAGGCTTTTAAGCACTGCCTCCATGTGACTGATACTCACATCACATGGCTATCGTTGACACTTAAGTAACACCTATTGTTAACAGGGGGCGGAGTGACACTGGCAATAGCAGCACTGCAGGAGGGGGACAACTGAAAACGGAGGCCTCCACCTCTGTTTAATGATGGACGGTCTTTCTTCAAAAGCCTGAATTTTGCCTGAAACTCTCAGACTGAAGAAGTCTCTTGGAGGAGAGACGAAATGTTTCATTAGAGAAGAACCCGTCCAGAAGACCTACAAAATTTTTTTCTTTTTGATTTTTTACCTGGATTTCTGAGATGCATCAGGACATTTTAATCGATCCATTTGGAAACTTATTTAACTTCCAAGTTGTAAGAGAAAAAAATGCAGCAAATATTAAGAGGGTGAAGATTTTTACAGCCCAACACAACTACCCATATTTACCTCACAAATAGACATGTTAAATTTCTCCATACCTTGTTAATGAGGGTCATTGCGTATACCAGCAGCTCAGTGTCCACTCCATCCTTCTCTTGTAAGATCTCCATAGCACAGGACCATGGTTTACAGCCTGAACAAGGTGGAGTCAATAAACACTTACTGTACTTTAATTTGAGAATATGTTCAAATCTAAATGATAAATTAAAAGGATTTTAAAGGGAAATCCCTGTGGAGAATTCTTACCTCTCTTCGTGTCCACAGAGGTGATGGCCTGTATCAGCAGCGGCGCGTTGGACTCAGAGTACTCCACAAACACCAGCAGCAGCTTCAGAGCGGTTTTCACCACCAGACGGAACTAACGAAGAAAAATAGTTTAAGAAAAGTGTTATTGCTGAAACAAAAAGGCAACAAAACTGCAAACTCCAAGACCATTTTTACCCAAAATCCCTCCGAAAGCTCCTGAGATATCTGTGCAACATTTATGCAACATGTGGAAACGTGTTTGAAGCATAAATTAATTGAGACTAGAATGGAAATTTTGCCTACTTTCTCACCCTTTGGCAATTTTCTGTCTCGAGCTAGAGTCACAGCAGGTGCTGTCTTTAACAGAATGAACAGGACTTCTAGTACATTTAAAGATATTATATTTAAAGATATATCATTATACATTTAAAGATATTACACAAAGGTAATATTTTATTTCATGTTTGACTTCATTTGGAAGTGTTAACATTTTGTGAAAATATATTTTATTAAAAAAATACATAAATAAAAACACAGCACCCTGTTGGGATTAAAAAGGCTTAAAATAAAAATCACTGCATTTCAGAGGAAATAATTGGTTTAAATGTAGGGTCAGTTTAATAAATAAGGGGTTTTGGTCAACATTATTGTAGTCTTTGACAAACCCTTCATTGAATTTCAAAGGTATTTTTGTTTTTAAAGGCCAGACCTGACCTTTGGGTCATATTTTGCCAAGGTGTACTTTAAATGTGCTTTGAAGCATATTTCAATATAGATATACTACAAAAAAATACCAACGCTATTCAAGATACAGAATTACATTTTTTTTGTTTTCTTGGATAGCTAAAAATAAGGATTTCCAAACAATGGGTGGTTGCTCTGAGTCAATAAGAACCTACAATTTGGGGGTGTTTTGTTTTGTTTTTGGTCATACCTTAGAGCCAACAAGTGTGTAGAGCCACTGGATTGTCTCTTGGTGGCCAATGACTCCATTCATCCCGTCCACATAAAGCATTATTTGCCCCAGAGCTGAGAGAGATGGAAAGAGACAAAGTTTGAGACCAAGAAAGAAAGAAAGAAAGAAAGAAAGAAAGAAAGAAAGAAAGAAAGAAAGAAAGAAAGAAAGAAAGAAAAGCACCATATACTTAAATTAAACCTTAGCACTGAAGTAACGCATATCGCCCACTTGTGTTGAGCTCATAATTCCCTAAACAACAATAAACACATTTTAAAGCAGTATTGTGGGATCTGTTAGTCCTCAGAGGATGACTCTCCGCTACTACCACACCAACTTTTAACTTAATATCAGGGAAACCAACTGATTTATAGCTGAGTACTTTCTGAGTTTTATTCAAAGCCATCCAGTGGTTCGTGAGGTATTTTGCTAACAGACAGACAAACACAGAAACGTTTTTTTTTCAGTGGTTTAATCATGTGCAAAGCAGAAATTCTTTGAACGTTGGTTTCAGTTGTTGCCGCTGTAAAGGAGGACACGAGTTCCTGATGAGGTCATTAAATGTCTTACAGTAAGTGCAGAAAAACCTTTGAACTCAGACTATGTTTATGATGACAAACCTGAAATTTTAAAGTCGTTGTGTGAAAACAGTATGTGCACAAGTGCTTCCAAATCCCTAACATGCAATGTATAAGATAAGAGTTTCATATTGCATAATAAATACTACTTCAACCAGGAAGCATACAATATCCTGACTAATACATTATTAATTATATGAAATCACATCCCATAAATCACAGATGAACTTATCAGTAATCTTAACCTTTGTTTTTGCACTCTGACGGCTCTGCAGCCACAGTGATAAAGTTTCTGGTCCTTCACTTCAGTTCATTTTAAAAATGTGCATAAAAAAGACGAAACTCTTTTTATTGTGTTGCAAAACAATTACAATATGTGTTGTATACCTTTAGTATGCTGTTTAGTGTTCTGACTCTGGGAGCCTGTTACTGGTTCAAAAGGAAGCTTATCAAAAATGAAATAAAATGAAAGCAAAAGTATTTCGGACACTGAACTGACACTGAAGCAGCACGATTAACTTCCACCTCGACACCAGGTTTGAATCAAGATTTGATGATGGACATTTTGGCTTCAGTTCTTGGACAAATTACCAAAAAACTTTGATGTGATAATAAAATATATACATATTTTTATTGATCACTTTGTTTCAGAGAATGGATCATGAGGAAACACAACACTTATATCGAGGAACTTTTCATGTACGAGAAGGATTTTTTTGACCCGAGGTACGACTGTGACTTCACCTATCTCTGGGAACCAGAAGTGTACGTGAGAGGAAATGAGCCCTACAATCTCCCAGTAGGCTGGTATCGAATGGGTTTAAACGTCAAAAGTAAATATTCTGATGGAAATGGCTGGCTGAAAAAGAAGGGAAAGTGGACTGTTTCATATCATGGAACCAGTTTGGAGGGAGCCAAAGGGATCATCAGGAGTCACTACAAAACAGGACCAAGAGCTACGTTTGGCAGAGGGATCTACTCGACACCAGATTTGAAAGTTGCTGAGCATTTTGCCACGATCTACAAATCACACCGGACAGGAAAATGTTATAAAGTGATCCTGCAAAATCGAATCAATACAAAGAAGAGGACGATTTGTAAACAAGAAAACTTCTGGCTGATTCCTGTTAAAGAAGGAAAATCTGCTGAAAAAGAGAAAAAGATTGTAAAGAAATCGATTCGGCCGTACGGCGTTTTGGTTAAAGAATTTAATGAATGATTCAGAAGGCCAAAATCTTGAATCGTGATTAAAATAAAAATTCAAAAACTCCATGAAGCAGAAGTCCAGTTTTATCTTTTATGAACTGCGCTGTGTTGGTTATTTATGTTTCTTGTTTATGAGTGAATACAGTTGTCATTTAAGAAGAAAGGCTGATATTTTCGCACAACTATGGGATTAAATGTGAGACAGGAGTTTGAACCAGTTTATGAGTTCTACATAAACTTACCCCAAATCCAGAGGAAGCATTTTTAACTTTTTACAACTGGAGTATTTATACAATGATGTCATTAAAACCTCATAGAGCTTTAAATGTTAACTAGAAATGATACGTGACATTTTTTAATTTATTTTTAAATAAATAAAATGAGTACACTGGGTAAAATGGCAAGTTTTTTTTGACACATCGTCTCTCTTATTTTTAATAAAATAATACCTTTAAAACGTGTAGTCACTCATATCGACTTGTTTTTTCAGTGGTCTGATTCACTCAGAGACCAAAACTTTTCTGACATGTTCCACTCATTATGAGCATGAAAGTAATTCCAATTTGGACTTTTAGTGATAAACAGGGTGAGTCAAAAGTCTCAGGACACCATTTTATTTTACAAAGAAAAGGGGAAACAACATATCTGAATACAACAGCGTGTAATAGGTGAGGGGAACACCAGAACCTGGACACCATTTTGAAAGCCAGCAAATAAATGGGTGTCCTGTGACTTTTCACTCACCCTGTAAGCATCTATAAATAACCAAACCTGTTGATATGAAGATGAAATTCCTGAGTAGACAAAAACATCTCACTGCAACTGTATTGGATTGAAAACAGTGAGTTCACAGCTAGTTAGTGAAAAATCAAAAACACTATGGAATCTGTTAAAAATCAGTGTGTGCTTAAATAGGACATAGCTTGAGATTTAAACATTATTAGAAAAAGGACATGTAGAAACCTACATGGTTAAATTATTCTGACTTCTACCCATACAGGACTTTTACATTGACACTGTTCCCAAAAAGACATTTAATACGCTGATACAGGTGTTGCACAATGTTGCAGCTTGCTGTGAGAATTTAGATCACAGAGGGATGATTTAGACTAAAATTTAAAAAATACCTCATAAAAATGAGAACAAGACAGAACCATACCTCTTAATATGTAGTTCTGGTAGTTCTGGTCGGCCTCAGCTCCCACCTTGATAAGACATGTCAGACCTTCAGCCATCACAAACTCATGGACCAGGTCTTTGTCATCCTGGAGTAAAAAAAAAAAAAGGGATAGAAAAAAAAGATCCATGTAATTTCTTCTTCCAGAGGCTTCTGATGCTCATATTTATGTTGTAATGGCTTAAAGCACCACATGATGTCAGTGGTGTGCAGGGTAAGGAATTAAATTTAATCCCTCAACAACCATCTGTATTCTGCAACCAACTGACAGTAATTGCACGGAAATACCTGAAATATCTGCTTTAAGGAGAACAACGCCCTCCTCAGGTCACGTCCATTGGAGTTGTAGAGTCTTTCTGCAGAGAGACAAACACATGAGCATCAAACTAGATGTTTGAATTTACTATTTATCTCTCGACAGGCTGCATATTTATTCAATAAAACCTGTGCAAAATGAGCCTCAGCTGTGTAAAAAAGTCCAGCTCGAGACGTGGAGTTCAGCACAGCAATTAGATGGAGCCCCATCACACCTTACCGCTCCAGTCCCCTCGGGTGGAGACATTATGACAGGCTGTCCCGCTGCGTCCTCACACAACATGTGCATGACCCGTTCCTCGCACTGAAAACATACATGTCGGAGTCGTGATTAGGGTCGTGCTGGAATGTTAATGAGCTGCTGGCTGGGCTTCAGCACGGAGGTTGTTCGGGTCACGACACGGAAAGTGTTTAAGATCAGCAGCTGAAGGTCTGTAGACCATGACACGGATTTTTAACTTGTTGTTTGAATCTGGTATAAAATGGAAATTTTATTACAAAAATAAGCTATCTCCAGCATAGATTTATTACTCGTTGTAGCATAAATGCAGCTACTCTGACACTTAAACAATTTAGACTGAATAATGCAAGTTGAATCATAGTGACCCCTCAGTAACAAGCCTCATGCAAGAAGCGTTCGTACGCACAGATTTGTTCTTAAGTTGTGCGTACGAGTGATTTAGGAGAATTTGTGGCATTCACCAATGTTTTCGTATTCTAAGATTTTTT